GAGGATATGAAAAAAATAATTTTTTAGGTTTATACATACATTTGAATAACTAAAAATCATAAATTACTACATCAATACCATAGAATTTCACTATAATTTATAAAGCTTGGTAACTAAGATGTATTTTAGTCTAAAAAAATATGAAAGTTCGAGCAAACTAAAGACACACCCTACCTCCTTGAAATCTTGGTTCAAAAGAAAGAAATGGCATCCTGAGAAAGCCACTAGGGGACGTTCTGAGCTTATGATTGGTTATTCATGTCATATATAGAAGTGTATATAAGGGAGCTATTCCAAAACTTTAAATAGGTGGGCAGAGTGCCACTGTGTTTGATTTATCACATGAGCAATATCTCAGTAGATAGAAAAGATAAGACCTTATTTTATATTCTACCTTGTCAATATTGGTAATTTGAGTATGTAATTTGTAAAAAACTATAGACTTAGTATTTTGACTTTACAAACATATAATTTGAACAAATTCTGCATTCAACATACCACGTGACACACAAAGATCGATGTTTGTCTGTTTTTTTATATATTTACTTTTTAATTAAGAAATTGAGTAATATATAGTACTAAAATTTGAATTATAATCTACAGTTTCATACCAAACTTACTGATACAAATTTATGAAATAGTAGTTCAATAAAATTTTGAATGGGAGTCAACAAATGAGATGACATTGCCTTCCACTGCTGACCAATCTTGAAAGGGTTAATATACATACCTAGACTTAGTCGTAGGTTAACACAGGTATTATAGTATCAGTAAGAAGGCCTAAATATAGGTCTTAGCAGTATTGATTGAGACTTGATGTTTGAGATTTAATCTACATAATGCTTTATATTTAGTATCATTGCTACTGTGGAAGCACAGCTTCCTATTATTGCATAGTCCTATCAATTTTCACATCCAAACATTAGATCTATGCCTAGATATAAAATAAATGTCCAAGATTATAACAAGTCTAAAGATATCTACGTCTAATTTATCCTACTATACAAAGCTCTAGGTTTCAGCCATGCAGCAATATTTGCTCAATGTAGGAAAGCCCTAGACAAAGGAGAAAATGCTTGGTAGTTAGTGTAAATACTTTAGTATTTGAATAAAAACAAACTTGGCACAAATTCCTATCTAACACCAACTTTTTTATATTGTGCCGAGGGTGGTACTTAAAAAGCAAAGTTGATTTTTCTGTCCTGAATAGCTAAGCTCAGAGTACTTAGTAAATAGGTTGGATATGATGTCAACATGCATTATTATTATGAGTGCAAAAACACTATTATAAACAGCAACAACTGTTAGAAAATTATTTATACCTAGTATTAAGTTTTATACTTTCAGTTTTTGTATCAGAGATTATAGTGAATGTAACAAAAGTTAACATTTTCTTAAATCAAAAATTTATTTCCAATAATACTTACTTCTCTGTTACATTTACAGCTATTACTCAACTGTCAGGGTTTTTTCCTTTGCCCATCTAAGCACTGATCTGATGTTTTCTCACTTGTGCCAGTTTTTTTTATACCACACTTAATTGCCCTTGGCAATATATGTCTCATGACACTCTCCATCTATGTCAGTGCACCTTCTATCCTGGTACTGTATATAAGGACCTCATTCAGATAATGTTATAACTTTTCCGAGACTGACTCAATCCCAGTCTCTAACACCAGCTCTTAGTGGGGAGGAAAGTATTATTGGAAATACATTTTCAATTTAGAAAATTGTTAACTTCCAAAACATATCTACACTCATACTTACAGCTAGAATCCTACATTGATAAGGTGGAGGGGTCAGTGAGGGCATTATCCATACAGAAAGCATCTGCATAGATCATGGCTATGTCAATAGAAGATTGGCACCCTAGTGGGGGAACTGCACTACATCCAGAACAGGTATACTCTTCATATACTTTGGGTGAAATTTTGCATGATTTGTCTTCACTATTGGCCAGGCCCAAACCAGATAGCCAAGGTTCACTACTTGGGGTTGGAATTATAAGGCCATGGTCCCTGTATCCCACGTTGGTGGCTATGGCAATTGGACCAAAATCTACATATGTATATATATATATACTTGGGAGTAGATCCCAACCTGTAGCCAGAGAGTGATGCATTAGTCACCAGAATCATGATGAGTAGGTAAGCAACACTGAAGTGGACAAACCTTCTCCTTAACCTGAAGTCCAAAAGGCAACACCCCATGCTTAGAATGATGAGATCGTGTATACCTTACTAAACCTGAGCAAAAAGAACTCATCCTGTCTGGAATTATGAACACTTATCCTCAACTGTGTGGGCAAGGTAAATTCCACTTGCTTCCGGAATTATGGGGAGGACGTGGAACAAACTGTGCTCAACCAAGGACCCAGGATGGGACCATTGTGCATTTGGAATTACAAGAATACAATGGACCTTCTTCCCTGAACAATCTACTGAGCCAATATTGATAAAAAAGAAGGACCTGAACTGGTACTATGAGTAGGCTCTCGCATAGACTGGTACCTCTCCTACTGACATCTGGGAAAAAAAACTTCCAGAGTTCTGAGAAACAGTGCAATAGGTGAACCAAGGTCCATAAATTTTTAAAAGCAAACCAACCCTGATTTATTCAATCCAATGATTGGCATGGATGGGCAATATCCCCTTATCCTTTACTCGTGATAGTCTATGATTGGCAGTCCAGCATAGTACAGTAGTACCACTTAGTCAGCCTTGAGGTGGTCTTATGGAACACCTCATTTCTACAGAGCTTGTTGCAACCTGTATAAGGTATATTGAATTAGTATTTGCTAGAGTGGAATTGGTTTGATAAAAGCACACCTGCCTGGGCAACACTTGTCACAGAGTGGGATCCTGTAAAAATGAGGGAAGGGACCCTGAAAGGTAGCAAAGAAAATACTCACCCTTCTGTATAATCTTTCAAGCTCTTGTTCCAAAGGCATGTGGGATTCGAGTGATGCCCACATTCCCAAAAGAGATAGAACCATCCATGCTGTGGGAGAGATAAGAGTCTGGCATTTCGTTCTATAGTGTGGAGCCTGATGGGAGTCAATTGAGCCTGACTGAGAGATGAGATGTAAAACATAAAATACCCAGGCTGATGACATATTGAATTGGAGCAATAACAGATGTCTCAGCCCTGGGAATGAAGACTGCCTTGGTTGTTTCTGAAAGTACAATCGGGATGTGATGTTCTGACAATTGACGAGATGGCGCCAGGAGTAGTCATCTATGGAATGGTGTGTGCACAGAGTGATGGAATGTAGGTGAAGAGAAGAAACTTGTACAATATGGCAGAACCCATGTGAAGCCAATCCAAATCCAAAGACACAAAAAAAATGCTGATAGTGGTGGGATGCCACCACTATGGCAATGTACAGATAAGAGCCGACTACAATGAACTTCGACATCTACAATTCCAGTGAAAAATGTCAACTCAGATTGAGGAATGAGTAACTTGTGAACCTTGAAGAATCTAGGCATTGATACAGATGAGAAAGATTGTTGACAGGACATCAATCTCCTGTCTTTTTAGGTCCAACAACTGACGAACTAGCACAACTTTCTCACTACCCCCAGACCGACCAAACTGATAGCCCTAGAACTAAGTTCCAAATCCCAAGGATCTGCAGGAGATGGAAACCTTACAGCTTGGGTAGATAATAGTGGTGAAGATGTAAACTGAATGACTAATCCTGACTTAAGGACCTGTAGTGCTCCTGGATCTGTGGTTAAGGTTACCATACGTCCAGAAATTCTTGGAGCTGAGCTTCCACAGATCCTGAAGGCATACAATAATCACCAGCACTGCTGGCGGCGATCTAACCGAGCAGCAAAACCCATAGATATAGACAGAATCTATTCTGAGTACCAGTGTACCGATAGGCTGATGTCGGTGGTCGGAACCAACTTATTAGGGACAGAATTATGACCCCCTGTAGGAGCCAAGGAAATTCGAGACAACAGGGATGAATGTAGAAACCGACAACTGAACCAATACGCATGTTAACAATGGTTCCAACAAAGTGAAAAAAAGGAAAACAAATTGTTAGAGTTGTAAGTCCGTAGACTTACCCTGTACCATCAGAGGACCGTGATCTATTCAGGTTAACTACAAACTCCACCTTAGAACCCCGAAAGTGGTAGGCTAAATCACGAAGTTCCGACGTCTATGTGAGATAAGGCATAACTGCCCCTTCACATAACTGATAAGTAAGCCTCCCAGCATGAACTACAATGTCCATGAATGGAGAGAAAGCTAAAGATATGCTCCAAGACCTTCAACCATCAAGTAAGGTGCAGGCTCAAAAGCAACTGGGGAAAGACCCAAAACAACACACTCTCAATGAACCAACAGAAGAAAAGAAATCAAAGGCAGCTTATCCCAAAATGTCCTCCTTTTTTGTTTTTATGTCACTTAAAAACTGTGTTGATTGGAACAATATTTGGTCAAGTAAGTTTGTTTTGTTAGAGCAAAGCAACGTTGGGCCATCTGCTGTGTCCACTATATGAAATCAAACCCCGAATTTCAGTGTTGCAAGTCCGCAACCTCACCAATGTCCCACATGGGGGATGAAAAGTCAACAGACTAAAAGAAGGTGCAGGAAAAAGCAAATCTAAATTCTCTCCATAATGTCATTTTCAGTCTCGTAGCCCCCCAGAAGAACACCACAGAACCAAATATATATGTCTCCATCTCACAACAAATAAGATCACTGACAGTCTCAACCAAGTGTGCCCATGTGGTAGAAGGTTTTGTGGTCAGATGAAACAAATATTTAGCTTTTTTTGGTTTAAATTCAAAGCATTATGTATGGTGCAATCCCAACACAACTCATCACCCAGTCAACCACCCCCCCCCCCCAAACTGTCAAGTATGGTGGTGGCAGCATCATGTTATGGGGATGCTTCTCATCAGTAGGGACTTGGAAGCTTGTCAGGATGGTGCAAAGTACAGGTGAATCCCGAGGAAAACCTGCTTGAGTCAGTCAAAAATCTAAAACTGAATCGAAAATTCACGTTACAAGCAGGACAATGACCCAAAGCACAAGGCCAAAGCCACACTGGAGTAGTTTCAAAAGAAGTGAATGTCCTGGAGTGGTCTAGTCAAAGTCATGACAAAACTTGAAGATTGCAGTCCATTAACGATCCCGAACAAACTTGTCAGAATTGAAACAATTTTGCTAGGGAGAATGGACAAAAATTAAACCATTCCATTGTGCAAAGCTGGTAGAGACCTATCCAAAAAGACTCGCAGCAGTAATTGCTGCCAAAGGTGATTCCACCAAGTACTGACTTAGGGGGCTGAATACTTGTGCAATCAACAAATTTCAGTTTATATATTTTCTTTGTAGGTTTTGCTGACATTCAACCTCTTTCACACATAACAATGTTAAGTTTGATCATTAGAGTTTTGAATAAAAACATGTTCATGAAAAACAATTTTTACATTATTTGTGTGTGACATTATTGGTAGGGGTGAATACTTTTGCAAGGCACTGTAGGTGGAGAGTGTCATGAGACATATCGCCAAGGGCAATTAAGTGGGGTGTAACAAACTGAAGCAAGCAAGAAAAAATCAGACCAATGCTTAGTTGCGCCAAGGAAGAAATCATGGTAGTTGAGTAATAGTTGTGAGTGTGAGAGGAGGTAAGTATGTTTTGGAATACGTTTTTTTTTATCAACAGTGTGAGTTGTTAAGCTAGACTGTACTATTATTCTGATAGAGTGAGAAGGTAGAATTTAATTAAATGGAGGCTTGATACCAGTTAATTGATAGGTTGTAATATTATTATGATGAATTTAATATCCTTGGAACTTTACATTTATTGGTTGAAATATGAATATTATTCCAGAAATGTGCTGTTATTGATTGAGAATTTTCCACAAGGGAATCCAATGAAATATTATAGTATAGAAAGAAGTTTTATTGGAAAACTAAGAAATGATGTCAGTGGAAGTAATGAGTGTTGTGTATTTTGCATCTGCTTTTAGAGTGAAGTGACAGTTTCATACCAATATTTTGTTCCTGAAATATAAAACAAAGCCATTGCTGATCAACAAAAGCAAAAAAGTATTTATTTGAAAGTTTTGTTCTGTTCAGCATTAAGGTGGAAAAAAATAAAGAAAAGTGTAAGTAGTTAATTTTTTAGTATATGACACATGTTGGCTTTATAACTAAACATTTATTAATCTCGCCTTATATGTTGTATGACTGTGAAGGAGAAAGTTCAAGGGAAGTATCAAGCTACTCCTTTGACTCCAGCCAATAAATCAAAAACTAAATTACTCCATGAGAGACAAAATACCTTACTGAATATTGTGGTGGTGAAGCTAATTTAATGGATGTAAAACTTGGATATATTTCCTAACTTTACACTCCTTGTAAAGTGTTAAGTGTATGAAGCCTGCATCAAACTAATTCATGACCTGTTTATTTGATATTTATCAAGAAACACTTCTTTCCACATTGTTAAAAACCCTTATGCATAGGTCTCCTTTCACAAGTTGCACTTAAAGCACAACTTCTCAGCTATAAGGAATTAGTAGGAAATGATTTTATATAACAGTTCAATATGCATTTTTGTTGTTTATGTTATGAAACATATTTTCAGACAATTTTATTTTTAAGAATAAAAAATGTAATTAGCTAGATCAACTTTTCAATATATTGTAGTGTATTATGTGGAATTTTCTAATCCAACTATTATATACTGACATTAATTTGCTTTTTAATCACTACTAATTTATGATTGGCATAAAAATATAAATTATCAGTACAAAACATTTATCACAGAAAACAGCATAACTTAAGATTAATCTCATAACATAAGATACTCTTAAAAATCGAGATGTTTCTTAACTCTAAAAATACATATGTTATACTGTTTTAAGATTATTTGTAAACTTTATATTATGCCACATTAGATTAAAATCAAATATAGTAGTAATGTTCAAACATAAGGAACTCCTGTATACATACTTATTAAGATTTCCTTGTGCAACAGGAAATCACACATGGCCTCAATGTCATTTTTCAGTTCTTCATTTCCAAAGGTGAAATACAAAATATCTCTTTGTGCTTCTGAAGCAGCAAGCAACTGTATCAAAGCCTTTAGACGTGGATCTCCTCGGAAAGCTCCACAACCCCAGTTTCCGGTAGCAATTGCTGGTAGGTGTTCTGGTGCTACTGTGTCATCGTAAAATCCACAGTATGCCTATTTAATCAAAATAATTATCTCAGTGTACTACACAATTTCTTCATTGTTTGACTCTTCTTTAAATATCTACACAAGGTTGTATCAAAGTAATTATTTTAGAATAATACATTATAAATGTCTTTGTTTTATTTAATTATTTTGGCATCAGCTTTGAGTATGCATTAATTAAATGCACACAGTTTTAAAACAAGCACATACTGTGTTTTTATCATTTGCAGAATATGAAAATCATAAACTTACCTAAAATTAATAATAATGTCTTACTTTTATGTACCTATATTAAATCTACTGAAAATTTCTAAAACTGAACAAGCCAACACTTTGTTTGTAAGGTTGCACTACTGGCTATTCCTAAAACTAAACAAGCCAACATTTGTTTTGTAATGTTGCACTACTTGCTATTCCTGAAACCAAACAAGCCAATATTTTGTTTGTAATGTTGCACTACTGGCTATTCCTGAAACCAAACAAGCCAATATTTTGTTTGTAATGTTGCACTACTGGCTATTCCTGAAACTAAACAAGCCAACATTTTCTTTGTAAAGTTGCACTACTGGCTATTCCTGAAACCAAACAAGCCAATATTTTGTTTGTAATGTTTCACTACTGGCTATTCCTGAAACTAAACAAGCCAATATTTTGCTTTTAATGTTACATTATTGGCTCTTAAAATTAATAGTAAAAACAAAACAGATATATAAAATGTAGGCAAGGTCTATATGCATTCTGTAATCTCAATTTCAATAAAAAACTCAATTTGTTTTAAAACTGGAATAATAACATAAAATCATATTCAATTCAATGCATAACAACTAGAAAAACGTTATGATCTTCAAATTTTCATCATATAAACACTTTTTATTTTAAGTTTTTCACAAGTGGAGAGTATAATCCTTTTTAAATCTTAAATGGTGCTATTTAAATTATTTTTCAACATAAACGTGGCCATTATTTTAACTCACTCACTCTGAATACGATTGCCTGCTAATGGTATTCAAGTTATACACAGCAAAAATAGCGTAAACAAATGACATCCACTACTATTCTAGCTTAATGATAGAAAATGACTGCTATCCTAATTCAAGTCAAATTTCCTAATACAGAGTAATATACCTAAATGATTTATGAAAGTATGTTTCAGTATAAGACTGCTGAATACAGCTTAAAGTATATACATTACAATCAACCTTAGGATTCAGTCATTCACAAAAGAAAACTATTTTGTAATATGATAATGCTGAACTACAAAATCTAAGATACTAAATATGCAAAGAATGAAACAGCTGCTTCACTCTTTGTGTAAAATGATGTAACAATTACACCACTATCAATGTAGCTGTACTTTCAAGTAATGGATTAAAGAAAGCTTGCTACTGTATCTTGTTTCATGTATGTTAGAAAAATAGAAGTCAGGCATTATATGATTTCAACATTTGAAGTAAATAACATCAAGTACTCAAACACAACTATATTATACACAACAAAATACCTTATTCAATTCTCGCTTGACAAAGTGATATTGATATTGCTGCTCTGGCTTGTAGAAATGTGTAGCATCCATAGCCACAATCTGAGTGTATTTTCGACCCCAGCTGTCACTAGATAAGCAAAGAAAGAAATATATATCAGTTAATGCTGATTGATTTTCTCTTAACTTTAATAACATGAAAAATATGTATAAACATTTTCTATTTCTAAAGAACATACACCACCAAAACTATCATAATTTTTCTCTACGATTTTAAAGATATAATTCCAAATACTGTTGCTCATAATTATTGCAAGATTTTTTGCTTGATTTCTTTTAGAAAATTAACGACTAAAAAGATCCAAGACAATTTGAATTTACAGTATAAATGTAAAACAAAGTTTGAATGTAAGGTGCACTGCATTAGTTTTGATGCAGATTCTTTGTATACCAAAATACTCTTAGAAGAAACTGTACAATTAAATGTTGAATTAGATTACTATGATAATGAAAACAATTTGTAGTTCCCTATGCACATGTTTTTAAACTATAAATTTCTTTATCAAGAAATCCTGATTTTTGTTTAAAAACATTCTCTATGATGAAAGAGATGGTGCAGGTATATGCTCCAAATTAATTCTTTCCTTGACTTAGCTTTATCTTTGCTTTCATGAAAAACAAGTGACAAAAAATTTCTGGTGCCTTTCAAGTTATTGTATGACCAAAGATACAAAACTGGATATAATTATAGAAATAGTGAATAAATTGGGTATAAAATTCAGATATGGTGTCATCATTATTAGCAGCTCCCTCTGGCAAATATCTAAATTAAAATATTGAAAACTGAGTTATTCCCACTGGCTGCTCCATCCTTGATAATCCTCTAGAAGTGGTCTTAATAGGAACCATGGGATCTTCAGCAGGTGGACTTTTTGCAGGTAAGTTATTCTCTGAAATTAAATAGCTGGCTATTCTCTCACCAACATATTCCCAAAGATGATCACAGTGGATGACCTTTGAATTGGACTGCTGTCCTTCTGGACTCTGTAAATCACATCTTTGATTATTCTCAGTATAAAATATGGTCCTTCCCAACATCCACTTTAATTTGGAGTTTGTCCTTTCTTGCAAAAAGAATTGTTCATCCATACCATGTCACCTATATGAAATACAATCTTATCACAGTGACTGTACATTCTATCACAAACTGATTTAAGACTTTCCCAAGTAAATTCATGTATGAAATCTTTAATCTTTATTCTTTACAGCCATGAGAGCTCTTTCAACTACCAATTCCTCGTGACATGCTGGAAGTTTGGTTCCACTGTGTCCTAGTCACTAGATGCAAGTTTATTCATAATAACTTCTCATATGAGTATTGTTCTTCTCAGTGATAAAGTAACCAACCTCCTGTTGTTACTGTAAGTTCAGTCTCTGGTGTATTAATTGTTATGTATTGTACATGGATTTTATGGCCATAGATGAAACTGGCCTAATCTTGCATCCATGCCTATGCATGAAGTCAGTTCCTCTTCATCAATGTCAATTACCCATACATCATGATGTATACAGAAGCTTCCTACAGTAAGGATAACTTCCAATTTCCCTCCTGCTGGAATTTTATATCCACTTGATGTTCATGTCAGTCTCTCTCTCTTCATCTCTCCTACTTTTCATTACCAAATCTGGTTGAACAATTACAATTTTAGACCTGGTGTCAGTCAACACAATGCAAGATTTTTCATCAATACATCCACTTACTCGTGGATGAGTTTCCTCAAATAATGAATTTATTTTCTCATTTGGGACAGATAATGATATTTTCTGCTGAATTTTGTCCAACAATATTAGATAATTCCTATGTTTTCAATGTCTCATTAGCTTTTTCTTGTTCCTTTGATCTGGTTGGGGTAGAATCTCCTTGGTGTATTAACAGTTGTTGATTCCTCACAATCTCAGCTCTAAAGGCCAGGTTTCCTACATCTATAACAGTTCTCTCTTTTTGGTATCCCTTGGGAGAAGTTCTTATTCCAAAATAGCTTTTGTTGGCAGTTTCAGGGAATATGTTCTTTCATGTTATACTTCAAGCATTTATTGTTTACTGATTTATTTCATCCATTCTGCTTCACTAGTTGTCTAACTGGTTCTTCTGGACTATCATCAGGGGGAATTGATGTTTCAATACTACTTGGTCTGATGATCCCATAACTTTAAGATGGTACCTTTAATTGTTTATCTGCAACTTTAATGGATTCAAGTTTCATTGCAAATTGCAAAGCTTCCTTTAAAGATGTACACCTACTCTGCTTCAACTTAAATGTCATATCCTTATCTGTTATGGCATCTATAACTGGTCATGTGATGATGAATCCATCATTTCACAAGGAGCATCCAGGTAAGATAATTGGGTACAACTTTCCAAATCTTTCCAAGTTCTGCTAAGATCTCTTTCTGCAATATCCTGATCCTTTTAAATAGGCAGAAAGATGAATAGCTTTTGTTCAATAACTATTCACTGCTCATTTACTTTGATAATGATTTTGAACTGAGCCTGATATGACTCCCATTGTACCATTACATCAAAGTTGTTGAATTGGCCTACTATATTCTGAAACCTGATTTGGTAGTGTCATGGCTGGAATACTCCAGGAAAGTCCTGCAGTCACAGGTGACACAGTATTACTAGTTGTAACCCAAACAGGTTCTCCTATTCCATATTTACTAATAAATTGTGCTTTATTTTGGAATTCTTGGGCAGATACAAAAAGATATGTGGCTGGTTTACTCTTTGAATTTACCAATTCATTTTCCAAATGTTTTATTCTGTCAGTGATTTTTTTGCACTCTTTCCTTTTGTCATTAAAAGTTTCTGAACTTTCTTGACATCTTACTGCACTTCTTTAAGCATTTTGTTTTAATCCCTCTGTACAGCTCTTTCAATCTTGTTTTCAGTCAGTTTATTTTTGTTCTTAATTCTACTTTAAATAATTGCCTCTTTCTTTTAACTCCCCTCTTAAATTCCTATCTCATTCTTCGATTTTTTACTCTTCCTTCTCAACCTTCTTTTAATTATTTCATCATCTCTAATAAAGTTTTGATCTATTTTAATTTTACCAAAATAACCCCACTTCTGACACAAGTGTTGTAACATTTCTATTATTGAGTAGGTTTTCTTGGATTATTGGTCAAAATAATAACAAATCCAGTTCCTGCAACAATAATGAATTAACTTATTTCTTTAAAAAAAATTTGCTAGGCCTAACTTACTTATAAACTTGTAGAATTCCAAGGCTAATCGATCAAATAACAGCATAGACACGTAATTATAATTTCTAACACTGAACTGACTTCTCACTTACTGTTTACTCGTACTTATATTGTATCCTTGTTCTAGATATTTCACAAAGCTTCTTGATTATTATATTACAATGAACTTTCTAAATAGTGCATTATCATAATAAGCAGTTCCCTCTAGCAAACATTTAAATTGAAACATTGAATATAAAGCTTACAATATATGTTACTACAACCATACATCGACAAATCAAAAGCCAATTTTAAACTCACAGTTTCATTATTAGTCTCATACATAGTACCTTTAAATAAAATGGTGACTATTTAGTGGCAGATTCCAAATCACAAATAAAACATAGATTTGGTCAAACCTTTAATGTTATTAATATAACTAAAAACTTAAATGGCAGCCAGTTAAATTACTTCATTTAAAGATATAATAGTGTTCAATAGTTCATTATGTCTACTAGCACATTTAACAGGTTCATAAAATTTTAAAGTATTAGAAAAAATCAAAACTATTTTTCTCTTAATTTCAAAGTTTTAAAGTTATGATTTTGTGAAATTTTTGTTTTTACTCTAATGACTTTCTCAAGTGCTATGATGGTGTTTACTACTCAACAGCGTGTGTAAAGTGCTCATAAAGTTTTGTTTACATGCTTTTTGCAGTGTGTTTGAGATCTTAATTTGTATTGCACATCTGGCCCATTCCTACTATAAGTACTACTGTACTTATTATAGGTAATAGTTCAATGATACATAGATCAGATGGTCATAAAAAGGCCTTAGTAATATTTGTATAAGTTACCAGGAACATAAGACATTTCTTTTGTATTTCTTTATTTTTTATAATATGCAAATTAGCCCCAGTGGTAATGTTACACAACATGAGCCAGAATATGTCTTTGTACCTATTTCATTATATTTTCATACAAAATGCATAATATGAAGATATTTTTTGATAAAATGTCCAAAATCTAGATAACACTATGTAAACGGTATAAGCTACCTTAAGTACAAACTGGTCATTTCATGAAATTTTAAGACAATACTAGTACAAATAAATTTACATTAGATTAAATTACTGACCAATTATTTACAAACTGAATATTTTAAAAGGCAGATATGGAACATTATATATGTTCATGCATAAACCTCCTGCCTATCTTACTAGACTTTTCATTTTATATTTCTCTTATGTCTGAAATTTCCACAATTTTACCCCCCCCCCCTATTGTTTAACATGATAGAGAGAATGAAGATAATTTTGAACTTTGTGACATTTAATACTATTGTAACATTTTTAACAAAATGCCTGAAAGAGAATTTTGTTGTATATTTCCTTCTCTCAACTTCTGTCAGATAATGCATATCTCTGTCCAATATAGGTCCATCTAAATGAATTCACACATAAAAATGAACAAATAGGTGAAAAGTGCACATCATTAAAGTGGATAACAAAAGATTTAAAGCTTACTTCAATGCTGATTCTTTGCCATTGCATTTTAAGGTGTTCATACATTGTGAAAAAGATGACTTGCCGTTAGTCAACTGTCTATCAATCAACCAGTTAAAAGAAGCCTCATATATCAATTTTGGTTTAACATAATCAAAGTAGACAAGGCAATCTCAGACCAAACCTACCAGTACTTATTAGTTTTGAATAAACTGGGTGGATGACAACTTTGACAACAGAAGTAGCACAAATCTGATAAATGGTGGCCAACTCTCATCTTTGTAAAATTTTTTACCAAACTTAAAAAGTGTTTAAGACCAAAACAATAAATAACAGAATAAACACATTTTTAAACATGACATTAAAATTTCAAACTGCAATTTTGTTTCTTTTGATTGAATATAATAATGTCAGACATATTTCTCTAAATCAGCAGTTGTTAGATCACACAAAATGTTTTAACACTTAAACTTGTAGATTTATGAAGAATACCTGAAGAACAGAAGCAATCACCTATGAACATATGAAAAATACAAAGAGTAAAGATCCTAAGATGCATTCAGCATATATATATATATATATATATACATATCGGTGGTATTAAGAAAGAATGATGAACAAGGAAATAAGTACTACAAGTGGATGTACTTATAAACATGGTTAGTTCAATTAAAAAAAAACAATCACCTGTTTATTTCATTCAATACAAAATATAACTTTACTTCAGATCAATCTTCAAATGTATAAATTTGATATTTTTTTACTATAGAGGCTACCTTGATGTAGAATCTATATAATCTCCAGACCAAATAAAGGTATTTCCATACCCACAATACTCATTGTATTGTTCTGCCCCTGTAAAAACAGAATAGAAAATTGAAAAGTAACACAATTGTTGTACCCAGCATAAAGTTTGTTTTATGATATCAAAATACAAAGTTTTATGTTATTTTTTTCATTATTTTATGTTTTAATATAAACTTTTCGATATAAAATCAGAATAAACCATGTATATATATACACACTGAGTGGT